ACTGCCATGTTGCAACACTGCCAGCCATAACAATCAAGACGCTCTCTAGCACTCATTGTAAATGTATATAATGTACATAGAGACATGTCATGTATAATTCACATGTGCGTTTATTATCTGTATTCATTTTACCCAGTAATCTACTTCTTTCCTGTTCAGGCGTCATCAATTAGTTCATTTTATACAAAGCATAAGTAACGACTTATTAATAAGAATATACACTTCAGTTTTCGGCACCAGTTCACAAAAAAATATGCTCTGGAATAGGGGAGGGTACAGAGAAGGGCAATTAAAATAATAAAAGGCATGGAGGAGGTCAGTTATAGAAAAGGTTAAAGTGTTTGTAAAGGCAAAATTTGTACAGTACGTCTCTGCAATACATGCACATTCCCCCATGTTTCATGCTTTAAAGCTGAACTACCGCCATGGAAAATGTAATTTAAACATATTCCTAAATAGCCCCAAAGAATATAAATCCTGCTTTTGTAAACCCAGGTATTGCCTTGTAAAAGTAGCAGTGACATCACTGTGCTGTACATAGCCTGTGCAGAGAGAAGAGCTGTGGGAGGGACTCAGCAGTCTCCACCCGCCACAGACTGTCAGCAGAAAACTACAGTAGGGTGGAAAGGAGCTTAAAGCCAATGAAGGCTGTGTATCACTTAGACTAAGGCTACACTGATGATGAAAACTCTCTGGCAGATCAAAATTTATTTTTTGAACTTGAAGAGCGTTTAAAACTGAACTCCTTGATAAGAAAATATTTTCTAAATACAAGAGTTATATGTATTCTTTCTTGAATCTTGGTGTGTTTTGTGTATTTCTTCCAGATCTGTGCAGTAATCCAGTGTGCAACTTTACCTCTGTGCAGGAGCTGCCTGTAATAAAGACCGATTCCTGCTGCTCTCTCTCTTGTGCAGGGTGACTGGTCTTGTCTCCACCCCCTCCTGTAGTTTTCTGCTGGCAGCCTGTAGTGGATGAGGCCTTCTGAGCCCCTCCCACAGCTCTGCTGTCTGCACAGGCTGATGATTTCACATCTCTTTTTACAAGGTAATATCTAGCTTTACAAAGGCATCTTATGCACACACAGTGGATTTATATCCTTTGTGACTATTCAGGAATATATTTGACATTTATGTGCATGGAATTCAGTTTTAACCATTCAACTAATGATGGGCTGCATGTTCAAGTTGAACGTAAGTTTGGCTCGAACATGGGCCGTTCGTGTGTTTGTTAAACACACGAATGGTACGGGTGTTCGATGGGTTGTTTGCCCACCACACCCCACAATGCACTGCGCCCAGGTGCAATGCTTTGGCCAATCCACAGGACATAATGACATCACAAGGGGGAGGGGTCATCCCACCCACCCATCCCACCCCCTTGTAACATCATCACCCTATTTAAGAACTGTCATTGTGGCACATCTGTCCAGGAGCCAGTATCGAGAGCAGAGTGTTTTTTTTTTCTTTTTCAGGTTGACGGTGGTGGCAGGCATCGTGATTGACGTTGGATCTACTTCGGGGGACATTTTTTTTTTATTTCTAATAAAGGACTTGTCAAAGACTGCCTCCTGTCTTTTTTTACACTACACTTTTTTTTTTTTAATGTGAATGAGTAGCGGTACCGCATACTCATTCACATGAGGGGGCGGGATCTCGTTAAAGGGGGCTTCCAGATTCTGATAAGCCCCCGCCCATAGACCCCCACAACCATGGGCCAGGGTTGTGGGGAAGAGGCACTTGTCACCATCAACATGGGGACAAGGTGCTTTGGGGGGGAGCCCCCCAAATAACCCCCCATGTTGAGGGCATGTGGCCTGGTATGGTTCAGGAGGAGGGTGCGCTAACCTAAAGCAAGCCAGTGTTTTTCCCATTCAGGGCACAGCAACAAGGTTTCTTAAATCCCCAACCCCCTCATCATATACTCACATCTCCATCATTCCGCCGCCATCATCTCATATATAAGAAATCTGAGAAATGTAGATTTATATGTAGATGTTTTCTGCTATACTGCTTTAAAGGCCTGAAGCTACAAAGCGATGGGATCAAAAAACAATTTATTTTGAGAAAGGATCTCAGATAATATGTCTCAAGTGGCTCTGAGCTGTTTTTCTTATAATGTTGACACAGTATCACAAAGGTATGAGTTATTACCTTGGAAGGCTCTGATATACTATCAATTAATGAAATTTTGCTAAGCCAGTTTCGATATTTTCTCAGCACTGTCAGGCAGTGCAGCCAACACCTTGACTTTACGTTACAAATTGGTCAAGGTTGGGTCCCAGCTTGTGATTGGCCAGTAAAGGACAGGAGCCCACTAATGAGGCCATAACTACTATTTTCACCTATTAGATTGCAGCCCTGATTTGCTTCTAACACTGCCCTATCCTGTCCCAGTCTGAATCCTGCTGTTCAGGTGAGTACAGGAAGCCGATATATAGTACTGTTCAGTAAAACTAAAGTGGTAAAAAAAAAGCACCTGAAACAACCACGTCATAATAGCAATGTGTCAATATTTAAAGTGGTTGTAAACCCTCACATATACCCAGTGAAGTGATACACAGAGATTAAACAAATTCTCTTACACAGGTTGTACCTGTTTATCTGCAGTCATTTCTTCTTGATATCCAAAGTGTTGAATTTATAAAGCTTGTCTGCAAGTTCAGATAAAAGTGGTGGAGAGCTGAAATTACACTCTGGAGAGCTCTGAATGCTGATTGGAGGGAAGGGGAACACCCCCTTTGCACAGCTTACAGGAACAGAACTGAGGCTGTCAATCTGCTAGAGGTCCCTCCCCGTCACTATTTTTCTCTTGGTGTCAGGAGAACCTGTCAGAAGTGCTGATAGCAGAGGAAGGAGGCAGCAGACAGAAATTACACTTAGTGCACACTATAGAGGGATATGCTTTGTTCAGATTTCATGCCTGAGGTTTACAGTTTTATCTTCTGAACAGATTGTGACATAGAATTGTAACTTAAAGTGAAACTTTAGGTTTTAAATAAAACAGTGTGGACAGGCAGGATTTTTTTTGCAGAAGAGCCATCCTTTGTCTCTTCTGCATTAAAGCTACCTACCTTCTTGTCCACCCCTGTACAGTGAGCCACGGAGGCACAGCACACTGTACACATTTAGCAATGCTAAACATGACGGAACGTTCGCAAATGAGCAGCGTCATCCCCACCCGGTCAATGACAGCAGTCGGTATTCGGGACCAGGAAGCTGGCTGCCCGAAGAGGTCAGTGGCTGGGGAGCTCCAGGACAGCACATTGCGGGATCGGAGGCGAGTATAGTTCCGCTTTACAAAAAAAAAGTTTGAAGAATGCATAGCTGGAGTGAATATGGATCTTTTATGCCGACCATTAGTACTGCTTTAAATGCTGTTGTGTCCTTATTGTTTGATTCCAACTATTCAGACACACAAAAAAAAACAAAGGCGCAAGCTAGAAACTTTTCTCGTTAACATAACGTCTGATTTTTGCTCAATGTGCACAGTACAGTAATCATACGGAAATAATCGAATAGAAAAAAAATGCATGATCAGAAGCAAAGAACAACTTGGAAGAAGATTACAAAAATAAGAATCGTACACAAGAAACAACTTTTGTATTCTGGATCATTAAAAAGCTACAAACAGTGAACAGTAGCATATTTTTTTCTATGACAGTAATCATGTAGCTACATTGATATTCTTGGTTACATCATAATACACACCTTTATGGAAAATCAAACTATCATTCATCCATAGTGTGTACTAGGCTTAAGGCTAGGTTCACACAGGTGCTAGATACAGTGGGTACAGAAAATATATCCCCCCCTTTAAAATAATCACATTTTGTTGTTTTGCAGCCTGAAATGAAGACAGACACAGTTTGTGTTTTATCCAGCTGTATTTACTCAGTGCAACTTATAACTTCCAAGTGAAAGATATACCACCAACATGCCAGAAAAAAAGTTAAAAAAAATCGAAAACAAAATCACTGAGTTGGAAAAAGGATCACCCCCTCTGCCAAAACTGATTTGTAAACTCAATCAGATGTAGCTAATCACTTTCTCTATGCACACAACCATTGACTGTAGTGCAACTGAAGCAAACAATCAACTATGGGTGGTAAGGCACTGTCAAAAGAACTTCAGGATAAAGTTGTGGAAAGGCACATACCAGGAGGTGGATACAAAATAAAATTCAAAGCCTTTATCAAAGCCTAGAAGCACAATGAAGTCTATTATTAAGAAGTTGTAAGTATTTGGTACAACAGAGAACCTCCCTGGATCAGGATGTCACTCCAAATTGGATGAAAGAGGCAGGAGGAAACTGGCTACCAAGAGGCCTACAGAAACTCCGAAGCAGTTGCAGGAATTTATGACAAAGAGTGGTCATTGTGTGCATGTGACAACAACATCACAAATTCTCCAAAATGCACCTTGAAGATTCTGAGGTCACATGGAAAAAGGTGGTATGGTCAGATGAGACGAAAATTGTATTATTTGTACTCCGGACTAAATAATATGTCTGGCGGAAATCCAATACAGCTCCCCATCCAAATAACACCATTCCTACAGTAAAGCGTGGAGGTGGTAATATTCTGTAATGGGGGTGATTCTCTGCAGCAGGGACTGGAACACTTGTCAGGATAGAATGAAAATGGATGGGGCAAAATACCGTCAAATTCTTGAGAAAAATGGACTGCCCTCTACCAGAAAGTTGTCAATAGGAAGAAGGTTTACCTTCCAGCATGACAATGACCCAAAGCACACCGCAAAAAATGACCAAACAGTGGTTGAAGGAGAAAAAGATGGATGTCCTTGCATGACCAGCCAAAAAAGCTCCGAACCAGTGTTGCAGCCTTCACTGTATCAGTGTCTTTGCAGCCATCCATTGACTTCCTAAAAACAAGGACTGCGGACAATCTAAACAAAAAAAAAAAAAAAAAAACAGACCAGGAAAGTGCATGCCAAAGTAGTGCAATAAACTTCTTTATTAAAGAGGAGTTCCACCCAAAAGGGGAAGTTCCGCTCAGGGGTGGACTGACCATTCAGGCACTCGGGCACTGCCCGAGGGCTCGGGGTCAGTAGGGGGCCCCATGAGATGCCCCTGGTACTTTTCATAGGATTTTTTGGGTGTGGTTTGAGTGTGGGCGAGGACACAGGGGCCCCATGATCCCCTATTGCTCGGGGGCTCCATGAGTTATCAGTCTTCCCCTGGTTCCGCTTTAAATATTGGTTCCCCACTCCCCATTAAGGATTGTCACTTTTGGGGAGCGGGTATCCGAAATTGACAGGTACCCGCTCCCACTTCCTCTGCGATCGCCTGGGCAATCGGAAGCGCAAGTTGTCCTCCCCCCTCCCAGTAGTCTTGTGGGACACGTGACAGGTCCCAGAAGATGACGGGGCCATTCAGGAAGCGCAGTGCTACTCGCACATGCGCAGTGGGCATCCGGCTGTGAAGTTGCAAGCTGCACAGCCGGGTGCCCACACTGAAGATGCTAGCACCTGGAATACAGGACATCCGGTGAAACGGGCTGAGGCGGGGGCACCATGGGATCATGGGACAGGTGAGTGGCTGTTTTTTAAAAGTCAGCAGCTACAGTTTTTGTAGCTACTGACTTTTATTTTTTTTTTACAGTGTGAGTGGAACTCCACTTTAAGCAAAGATGCAAGGCTGTGCAGGTTGTCATAGGTTTTAGGGCCACATCAGACGGCTCTTTGGGCTATGGGTTGAGCATGCCTGATCTAACCAATTGTTTTTCAGGATGGGCTTTTTAAAAAATTTATAGTACAGCCCAAATTTTTATTTTTGGTGTGTTGGTGTATTTGCTATTGGTATGTTGGCGGATTGTCAGGTCCAATTACAGGGCAGGTTCTCACTGGAAACAGTAGGAGAACCCATCATTTCCAGCAGCTCCTGAAAGGGTAGTGCTACATGAGGCCTAAAAGGATGTTAGTAATCAAATGAATCCTTTCCTTTTTTCCTTTCTGATTTTTGTATATCCAGACTACCGAAGTTTATCTTTTTTGACCCTGTAGCATAGATCTATTGATTGTGTCGAGACACCACTTCTTCTGCCTTTGTCTTGTGATCCATGAATGGGAATTACATCAGATGGGTCTTGGCTGACTCCCCGGAATACAGTAACTCTCTGATGTCGTGGGACTATGCAGTGATCTCACCGCCTATATCAGGAGATGTTGTCATCCTGAATCAGCAGCGGCAGATGCAGGAAAGACCCACGCAACATACAAGGATGTGAACTTCAATCTACTTATTAATTCAGCAATTTAGTCTTTCATCTAATGCTGACTCTGTAAACCATAAATGCAATTTGGTTTCCCAAGGGAAGTGGACAATGTCTTTTAAAGGACATTGGCGATAAATATTACAGCATAAAGTAAATGTAAACCCAAACCGGATGATATTTAGCACTGTGTGCCATAAGCAGTTGACTAGCTTTTTTTCTCATAAAATCCTGCTTTCACTTTTTTTCATCTCTTTTTGGCATCTTGGCGCTGCTGATCTCCTCCAGCCTCTTTCAGCCACTTCCTCTCTAGATGCACTTGCTCTGGAGTCTGCTGTTCACCATTGCTGAGGACTGGCTGCTTTCTTAGTGACAACTGTAGATCATGCCCGAGCAATTTGTTTCATGTAGACTTCATTAGGGGTGCTTGTGATAGAGTGACAATACAGAAGAAAAAAACTAAGCCTCACTTATTCTGCAGACTCCATGCTACTGCCCCCCCCCTCCTATTCTCCCCTTCCTGTCTGTATATTTTCTAACAGAGTACGCAGTCCCACTGAATGCTTTTAGATGGCTGAAGAAGTTCAATATAAAGATTTCCAGTATCTATTTAAAGGAAAATGGCTTGGCGACTTTAAAAGGATACATAAGTGGACTAAAATGTGTTAATTTATTTCCCAGGAGATCTTTTTAATTAGTGTTGACTCTCCAGGAAAGACTGCAAATAAGAGAAGAGTATTTGGCTCCCTCTAGTGGTAATATCAGTTGATGCACCGTATACTGTATTGTCATCTGTTCATGATGACTTGATGTGGACCTTCATCCTCCCCACTCACTTTCCATCATTCTACTCCAACCCTCTACTCTGTCACAAATTGAATTTTTTTTATCATGTCATTTGGGGAACATCTCCCCACACTTCTTGGATTCTTATATAGGCGAGAATGACGTATTCAACTGCCTGCAGCCTCGGGGGTTACACACATTGTACATAACAGGAGGCATCAGGGTACCACACCGCATATGTATGCTCAGGGGGATGTGTACTGTGAGCTGTGCACATTTCCTGTGCTGTCTCATAGTTAGTAAATTGAATAAAGGGCCACTCAATTCATCCTATGTGTGTGTTATGTGTAAAGGTGACTATGGATTCCCAAATCCCTGTATATTGTGTGCCCTGAGAAACAAATCTCTTAACTGATACCGCTAACTGTGGAACGGAGTTCCACATTTTTATTGCTTCGACAGTAAAGAACCCCTTACACCAGGGGTGTCAAACTCCATTTCATCACGGGCCGTATCATTATTATAGTTGCCTTCAAAGGGCCGGTTGTATCTGTAAGACTAGATGTGCCCAACCCCCCTTTATTTCAGATGTCAAGAATCCCACACGCTCCCTAACATCACGTGCATGCCCTATGAGTGCAGAGCTGGAAAGCAGAAAGTGCAAGGTCTGGAGCAGGACCAGAAGAGGAGTGGAGTCAATTACCAGAGCCCTGCTGAATGTTGAGACTGGGCAGGCGGAGATGAGGAAGGGGGGGGGGGCTGCAGCTGCACTGCGACGTGCAGGATTTGGCTGAGGAGTTCTATTCTCTTTGCTACCGACTGCTGAGACAAGGTGGGGGCAGAGACAAGGGGGTCCTGTAGCTGTAGGAGAGGTGCAAGTGCCACATGAAATGTCCTGGAGGGCCGAATTCAGCCCATGGGCCTTGTGTTTGACACGTGTGCCTTACACCATTTCAGATTAACCACATCTCCTCCAACTTCAGGTTGTGGCATGTATCTTCTGAGCATCCTTACATTATACAGTGTTTTCCCAATACTGTTGTCACCCTTGATACATTTTTATAATGTGATAATTTACCATCTTATGCATCTCATTTCAAAGGAGAATACATTTTAATTCCTATAATTTTTCTTTATAACTTGGGTCCTCTATCCCCTTTGTAAATGTTGTTGCCCTTCTTTGAACTTTCTCTAGTTCAAGGACATACTTCCTGAGGATTGGTGACTAAAACTGTAGCGCATACTCAAGATGAGGCTGAACAAGGGTTTTGTGAAATAGCAGAATTATAGTTTTATCTCTTGAGTAAATACTTTTTATTGCATGATAGTTGTCTGCTGGCTTAGCTGCAGCCTGGCATTCCATGCTATTGTTAAATCAATGGCCTACAATGGGGGAGGGCTAATCATTTTCTCAGGGGACCACATGAGAAGCAGACTATTGTGGAGATGATCTCACCTTTAAAACAAATATTAAATTACAAAATCCATGTAAGGAACCAACCTTATGCAATATGGTAAGTTAGCACCTCCTTGGGTCAAACATAGATAGTCAGAAGAGTAGCCTTCCTATGGGAACCCAATGTGATGACATTTCCGCAGCAAGGCAGAAGTTAAGGCCAACTAGTTGGAGCAGGACCTGTCAAGACCTCCCCTCATGCCCTCACTCACATCATATCCTTGTTGCCCATCTCGCAAGGTCTGCCCCAGTCATTTGAGGGTTGGTGCTACCCCTTCTACATGGCCAACGCTGCTCAAAAGGGGTGGAAGTGCAACCGCTACCATCTTGGTAACCAGCAGACCAACAAGGGCAGATGCATAGCTGGCGTCATCTTGTTGAGTAGCTGGGGTAGATCCAGAGAACCCTCACTGCTCCCCTTACACTTATTTACATTTGATTTCTAATTTCAGATTGACCTCACACAGGCCAGACAGGGTCAGCTAAAGGGAGGGAGACATAAAATGCCCAGGTCTGGTCTAAAAGAGGCGCTCAAATGTTTATCCATTCATATTCCCACAGAGGTGCACCTCCTAAGGAGTATTTTTCATACATATTATTACCTCCCAAGTTAATAAGTTTACATTTTTCAATATTGAACATCTGCCATGTAGCTGCCCACCCTTCAGTTTTATCAGGGGTGTCATGTAGAGATTCTATATCTTGTTTTGCGGTTACTGCCTTACATAGCTCTGTATCTTCAGGAATTACCTTATTATATAAACAGAATTTGCCCCAGAAGCAGACTCTGAGCTCTCATACCTTTAGTTGCGCTTTTACATCTCCTGTTATTTCTGTTACTGTTGTGATTGTTAAACATTTAAATGTATAAAACCAAAGAGAAGAATGTATTTAATACATCTATCTGCCTTCCCCCTGTGACTAGCTTCATTTGTACATCTTTCATAGGCCTACGTGTTCTGTTCTTACCTCCTTGCCACTGAAATATGTGAAGAATTGTTTTGGGTTGTTTTACTTGCTGTAGCAAAATGTTTTTTTCAATATTTATTTTAGATGCCCTGATTGTGCTCTTGCATTTTATGTTGCATTCCTTGCAGTTTTCAGATGCTAATGATGATTTTATTCTACCCTATAATTAGCCATACTAGTTAATTTTCTTTCTCCTTTACTGTATATTTGATTCCCAATGACACATTTACTGGCCCCTTCCCTGGTCTCCATCCTGACAGCATCCCCCGCAGCAGCCAGCAGGAGAGGGGGGGGGGGGGAACCCGGAAGAGAGCACAGGGGTGCAGCAGAAAAAAGTAGGATAGGAGGTGCGGTGGGGGCAGCTGCATATAGAGGAACCAATCTTTCCATGTTCTTCTCCCTCCTGCAGGCATTCAGTGACTGCGGGAGGAACATGGATAGATTGGTTACTGTATATGCAGCCACTCCCACCGTCCTCTTACGCAGATGTACAGGGCAGCTGCATGGGCCCCACGCAGCAAGGGGCTGGGTCGCAATTGCGACCACTGCTGCCCCTGTAGGTACGCCCCCAAGCCATAGGTTATACCATTTTCTTTCCTTCCACCATGGGTGGAAAGAAAGAAATTCACTCGATTTCCCCATCAACAGAGTCAGTGTTGATTGGGGAATCCCTCCCACAGTGCTATTGTGTTTTGCCGGTGGAGATCCTGCCCTTCCAGAAGAAGACAATGATCACTGCTGGCTGCTATAGCTACTCTCTGTGA